GTTTTCAGATGGTAGATTGCAGACCGTGGAGAAATTGAAATCAATTTTTGGATCCGAAAATATAAATCAGAAAAACAAATACCCAATTTCTTTTTCTTATTTCGACCCATGTTCTTCAGGTACAAAACTGAACATGATCAAGAGATATAGAGTGAGACATATCGAGTAGAGATGGAACATTGGTTGCAACGTCGTAGGTCTCGTGGAGGACGCATTAGGTCTTCATTTTTTTTTTGGTTTATTCAAGACGTGGGTTGAAGATGCAAACTATAGTTAATTAGGTCTTCCAAAAAGGAACTGTGATCGTTTAGTCTCAAAATGGTGTTTGAATCTTCAACATGATGAGGGTTGAAGATGTAAAATACAGTCGATTAAAGCAGATTGGTATCCTTCCGGTGACCCACCATGTGAGAAATTGATATTGTTTCAAGATGAAGGAATCAAAGAGAGTGCGAGAAAGGAAGAAGAAGTAGATAGCAGGGGGCGACGACAAAGCGATGATGCAGAATAAAGGTGGTCACCGGAGGTGAGGATTTGGAGTCACCAGAAACTGAGATGGGGTACGTCCCATTTTCTAATTTCTAGTTGAAGGGATGAGGCTGGTGAGGTAGAGGTGGGCCACATTTTTTTTTCTTTTTTCTTTTTAATTTATAAATAATAATAAAAACAATAAAATAATTGAAAAAGAAATTTATAAGGGTATTATAGTCAATTCATGTTTGATAGGGACTAACAACACAATAAGATCAAAATATAAAGACATTCCGAATTCAAAAAAAAGTTTACGGACGGAATATGTAATTTTAACCAAACCACAGGACTATTTCAGTAATTTATTCATATTTTTATTAAGGCCTTGATAGCTGAGATGGGCTTTAGGGCCATGTAGGCCTGGATCGTCCAGGGATAAGGTCTTGTGATGACCAAGGATAGCGTCTCCTCTGTTCCCGGTATCTGCTTTTTTCTAAATCGCGCCATCGGCGACGGAGGTTCGTTGGGAATTCCGTTACACATGCCTGGTACTTCATCCATCCAACATTTGCTGTTATATTTGTATATGTTTTTATTTCATCACCATTCTTGATCGAATCTAATGTATTTTCACTATGCGTTTTTCTATCTGTGTGTGTTTGATCCCCATGTCATGTTTGATGTAGATTTGCTTATTTCACTATCTTTGCTTCCTGCAACTGTTTGTTTGCGTTAAATTTAGTAAATCATTAAACGGTATTTCTTTAGTCTAACATGTTACAGAAAAACATAGGATGTGGAAGTAATGAAAAATTTGTACACTAAGCCATTAATAGACATGAAAGAAACTAGGATGACGACGTTAACTAACTCACTATTAACATAATTTTACAACCCACCCACTATTATTGACCCACCAAATAAACCCTAATTAAGCAAACATTAAAAACTGTAAAATAAAAATTACCCCAACATCCTCCCTTAGTTTCAATTTGGTAGTATGTTTCAGCTTGATAAACTCTTCAATTCCATGGTCACTCAAATAGCTTTACAAGCACAAGCCGTAGTTTCAACAAAGGGAAGCTTATCTATCTACTAGATAAGTGTTAAATGCGTGTAATGGCAACTTACTTTAATCTTCTCACCATTTTTAACAATGTACTTTTTTTTTTTTTTTACAAAATTTATTGTTTATAGCAATGGTAAAATGTAGGTTGCTATAAACAGTAAAAAGGTGAAAGTAAATCAGAAATGTGGTAGGAGGTGTTACAGTGTATGGAAAAGGGCATGAGGCAGAGGCAGCAAAGAAATAGTGATGGATTGCGCACTATATGGACACCTGAAATGGACAGATATTTCATTGACCTGATGCTAGAAGAAGCTGGAAAAGGGAACAGGATTGATGATCATTTATTTAGTAAACGAGCATGGAACCACATGACGCTCTTGTTTAATACAAAATTCAAGGTTGAATATGAAAAAGATGTTTTGAAAAACCGACACAAAACATTAAGAAATGTGTACAAGGTAATAAACAAGCTCCTTGCCCTAGATGGGTTTAGCTGGGACCATACTCGACAAATGGTGACAGCTCATAATGAAGTCTGGGATGATTATATCAAGGTATTTTTTTTTTATATTTTTAAATGTTTTGGTATCAATTGAAGCATATATTATAATATTATATGCATGCTGCAGGTACACCCAGGTGCTCGGTCATACAGAATAAAAAGCATTCCGTATTACTATGATTTATGTGAGATATATAAAAAAAAAGTATCCAGTATTGTTGATAATTCTTGTGGTATTATTGTTGTTGATGAAATTATGATGGATGAAGAGGTTGAGGCTGGAGGGAGAGGGAGTCGGACATATTGGGAGCCAGGGATGGATGGATACTTGATTGAGCTGATGGTGGGCCAGCTTCAGAAAGGAAACCAGATAGATGGCTTGTTCCGCAAGCAAGCATGGATGGAGATGATCAACTCCTTTAATCACAGGTTTGGTTTCAAGTATGATCTTCATACTCTCAAGAACCGATACAAGACCTTTAAAAGACACTATAACACCATAAACAAGCTTCTGGGATCACAAGGCTTTTTCTGGGATGATTTACGCCAAATGGTAATTGCTGATGATCACACCTGGCAGGATTACATCCAGGTCTGCATGCATCATCCATCTTATTCAACTTATCCATCTCAAAAAGATATTTTTTTTTTTTTTTTTTTTTTTTTTTTTTAACAATGCATATGCATTATGCATTATGCAGACAAATCCAGATGCACGACAATACATGACACGACCAGTGCCTTATTACAAGGATTTGTGTATTGTATTTGTATGTAAAGAGACTCTTACTACCGTTTCAGCAGCAGATGATCAGCAGGAGTCTTCCCATAACTCCTCTGTTGCTGTAGAACATGTGATTGAAGCTATTCAGGGCTTACCTGACATGGATGACGACCTCATCTTGGATGCTTGTGATTTTCTCGAAGATGATAAAAAAGCCAAAACATTTTTAACCTTGGATCTTAGACTAAGAAGGAAGTGGTTAATTAGGAAACTTCGCCCCCAACCTTCAACTACTACTTAAATAATTTTGTATTATATATAAAAACATGATAAGATACGCCCTTTTCCTTAAACGATCATAAAAGAGATTTGCAAATCATTTGATAGGAAGAGCAATGTGTAGCCACTGTGGTACTGCGACCAATCAGAAATATAGGCATCTAAACCTATTTTTCTGTCGACCAATGACAACATTTTTGTATACATCTTGATTGCATGATTAAAGATAGAAAATTATTTTTACCAGCAGCTTCCTATATTATTGTTTGTATCTTCTGAATTTTGTTTAACTTTAAGGGAAAATGACTTAAAAAAGTAATAATGTTTTAAAAACATACAAAAAACACCATTATTCTTTTTTTAGTGAAAAAAAAAAAAACCATTTCACCGCGTATTGTAGGTTAGCCGGTTAAAAGATTTATGGGAATATATGTGCCCTTACCCTTCGCTATTTCCCCCAAAATCAAGGGTTCATTTCCTCCTTCGTTCGTTCATCCTTTCCATAAAATCACCACAATAGTAATTATGTTTTCAAGTATAATATGTTAAGATTAGCGATGAGCATACGACCCGTTGGACCGGAAAAAAACCGAGACCGGACCGCATATTCATATTAGTGGGTCCGTTTTCGGGTTTTGTTTTTACCAATAATTAGGTTTCGGGTTTGGACCGGACCGTACACGGAATACAGGATTTAACCTGGACCGAACTGAAAAACATTTTCACCTTAATATCTTTTATAGATATCTTCATAAGTTTAAAATATATAGATAATGATATTGAATTATTAATTAATGTGATATTGCAAGATTTCTAAAATATAAAATCTTGATTATTAGAAATAATTTGGCCAGCCGAAGATTCGTAATGTATTAGACCGGTGCATAATTACACAAATAGGATATGGTGCATAATTACACAAATAGGATATGTAAGTTATGTCTTTAATTAAAAGAATTTGAGAGGAAGTATATATGTATTTGTTGTAATGTTTATTTACTTATGTGTGATACAAGATTATATTACATTTAAAGTAATTATGTTTTATAAAAATCTACAAACATTTATAAATACATACTTTAATATGCTAAACCAATAACTTAATTATATTCAGACAGCCAAATTATATCCATAAAACCAAAAGTAATATATATATA